GGGCGTACATGTATGTTGTCTGTTTGTTGTTGTTTAGGGCGTACATGTATGTTGTCTGTTTGTTGTTGTTTTGGGCGTACATGTATGTTGTCTGTTTGTTGTTGTTTAGGGCGTACATGTATGTTGTCTGTTTGTTGTTGTTTTGGGCGTACATGTATGTTGTCTGTTTGTTGTTGTTTAGGGCGTACATGTATGTTTGTTGTTGTTTTTTTTTTGTTTTGTTTTGTTTTTTTGGATCGGGGAATTATTACGTATTGTCAATAATAATGCTTTGTGTTCATGGTTAGGTCAAGAAAAGGCAGTAATGAAATCGAAGTATGAAGAAGATGTATACCCTAGCAACCACACAGTAAGTAAACTAACAAATCAATGAAAATTTAATTCTAGAAATGGCTCTYATACAKGRACGTTTTTCAAAGACYAAATGTATGAGAGCGTGTTAGGAAATGAGAGACGACGTAATCTCGAACTCAGAACCCGCGTACTGACTTTGGGTCTGCAACAAAGAACATCGCTTGAACTTAGCGACTGTTTTCCGTCGAGCTTGGAATGCGCAGTAAGAGGGACAGGGTCACTGGGTACGAGCTTGGAGACAACAGTGTTTTGTAAAAAAATGCTTAAAACATTGCGAGGGCTGATACCAATTACAAATGGAGAATAAATGAATTCTTAGAGAATTGTCGTTATTACTTTCACAATGAATAACACAAAATGTTTTGGCGCAACGAAATAATGCCAGTAATTTTTTGTTGTTATTTTCTCTGTGCGTTCTTGTTTTGTTGCATTGCTTCCAACAATGTTTGATTATTATTTAGTTTTTCCTTTCCTTCATTAGTCGAGTTATTGTTATTATGGTTTATTTATTTGATTATAATATCATTATTGTATTTTTTCAGAGCGTCTGGGGGTCGTATTGGCACGAAGGTAACTGGGGGTACGCTTGCTGTCACTCGCAWGTYAAGAATTCGTACTGCACAGGAGAAGCAGGAAAAGCGGCKTATAATAAAGTAAG